AGTTGATGGGACTTAAATAAAGTACATCTTTACTAGTTGCTTGTCCTAAATATTAAAATTCTCTGTTTTTTAATGCAGATGTAGAATTAGAAGAAGCTATTAGAAGAAGCCTTGAGGAAATGTAACTAAAGATATTACCACAGAGCATCAAGTAGCCTTGAAGATACTCAGGATAATGAATTCTTGATTTTGTTTTCTAAAGAAGGCCAGCAATCTACTAACTAGTACAGAAGTATTTGGAACACTGCTTTTTTTGCTTTCTCATGGTCAAAATTTTATATTTGCTTTGTATTTTTGTGCTCTTTTTAAAAAAATGTAGAGGAATAAAATACATGTTAATACAAATATATAAACCATGTATTCTATTAGAGGTATGACAGTTTCCCAGTTAACTTGGAATTCCTATATTTAGATTAAAAGAATTGAAAAATAGTAAAGCTCTTGACTGTTTATATGTTTCCCAAATAGCATTATTTCTTTACTTGTACATTATTGCATTTTTTACATTATTTCTTTACAGGTGATTTTAGGTTGTTTTTTGTTTGTTGGTTTTTTAGGATTGGAAATGAAAATAAATAAAGCTGCCATAGATTAGTTTTTCTGTAAATTCTACTTCTCATGTGGCACTAATCTATGTATATAATTACCTTTGATTTCTCTGTTTATGATTATTAGAAGACAGTAATAGAAACTAGTTGTGGAAATAGTTTAAAAGTGTTACCAGCACTGTTCTTTGTGGATTTCACTTAAAGGTGTAATTCCTGCTTTAATTAGAGCAGCACATTGCTGGAATAAAAAGAGCACCCTTCTTTGAAATAATTAAAAAGAAACCTTTTCTATTTCTTTTACCTGCTTAGACTTTCATGTGACTTGTATTACCTACTGTTTAAAGGGAATGTTGTCAAAATACATCCATAGAATTAAACTTATTTTTAATAATATTAGTCTTTTTTATATATTTGTGTAAACAGTCTTAAAAAAATAATGTTCCAGGTCTACTCAGGAATAATCTTCCTTAACCCTTTAAAATTTTTATTTCATATGTAAGAACCTTCATTTTGTTATTCATTAAATTGTTTTTCAGTTTCCTACATTTGGTATTGCATATTTAATTTTTAAATGTTGAGGCCCCCATTGTGAATAATTAAAATATTACATTATTAGACTAAGAAGGACTGTCATACTATCTTTATGTACATGCTTCATGTCATTTGACCAGAAATGTTATTCCAAAATTTTTGAGTAGTAATTGCTTACCAAATTGAAAATTTTCTATAATTTTTTAAAGAAAAAAGTTCATTGTTAGAATTTTGTTCTTTTCTGCAGTTACATATTTTAGTGTGAAATCACATTGCTATAAAGCACAGTCTTTTTACAGTATAATCTTTCAACCCACATTGGAAATCAATTTGTGTTTTTATTTTTTTGAGATATCAGGTCTAGATTAGCTGGCATGGCTTAGTGTTTGGGCATAGACCCATTAACCAGGAGGTTATCGGTTCAATTCCCAATCAGGACACATGCCTGGGTTGTGGGCTCGATCTCCAGTATGGGGTGTACAGGAGGCAGCTGATCAATGATTCTCTCTCATCATTGATGTGTTTTCCTCTCTTCTTCTCCCTTCCTCTCTGAAATAAATAAAAATATATTTAAAAAATATATATCAGGTCTATTATATATATATATTTTAAGTAGACATCATAGCTTGAGAATTTACCAGTCATTTTTCCAAAATAACTACATTGTGCTTTTAATTTGTATGTTAAAGTGGTCAAGTAAGGCCTTAGGAGGTAGTCCCTGAGCCAGACTTTAGACACATAGAGGAGCTTACAGGGTAGTGAGAAGCATAAAGGACATTCCAGAAAGGAGTATGGCTAAACAGCCGTGGGGAAGAGTTAGAAACAAAGTCTCTTTGCCAGAGCTGCCACCCCCAGGTGTGAGGTACACTGATGCTCTATTAAGCAGCTTTTCATCATGACCCTTAAAAAGGTAATTGAATTCTTTAATGTTTTAGTTGTGACTGATTGTCTTTCTACCTGTTAAGCAATTTAAAATAATTTTTAAAAAATTTTTATTATTTGAATTTAGCTACAAAGTGGGGTTAGATTTAATCAATGGATAACATCGCAGAAAATTATGGGTAAATTACCAAAGTAAACATTTCTAACATTGACAAAGATGCTTATCTTTTTGTTTTATTCATTCACCCACAGAATATTTATTATCTGCCATGTCCAGCGACTGATTGTTCTAAGCACTTGCGATTTATCAGTGAGTAAACCAAAGCCCACTCTGTGGAGCACACATTGGAGGAGAGGAGGTTGGATAGAATGTTAGATGATAAGCGAATATATCCAATGGCGATAAGTTAATGAAGGAATATAGGAAAGGGAAAGATAGTGTGGGGGTGGGAGGTTTATTTTTAGTGGGTTGGTCTGGAAGGATCCTGACCATATTGACTTGAGCAGAGACCTGAAGAAGTTGACGGAGTGAGCCATGGAAATATGTCTGAGGAAAAGAGTGCCAGATGGAGGGTGGAAAGGTCTAAAAGTCGGCTTGATGTATCCATGGAAAAGCAGACAGGCTATTATGAGCTAGGAGAGCAATAGAGGAAGTTCCTGAGGCCTTTTTGAAAGATCTTGGTTTTGACTCAAATGAGGAGCCATTGAAGGTTTGGGAGAATAAGTTGTGTGATCTGCCTTATTTAGAAGGGTTAATGAAGGTAATGCATTGAGAACGTACCGGAGAGGCAAGAGTAGAAGGAGGGCATGCAGATAAGCATAACCAATGGACGCAAGACACTGGGGAGTGAGGGTATGTATGGGAGTGGAGTGGGGGGACAGTCGGGGGATATGGACTCATGTAATGCCTAAATTAATTTTTTAAAATTAATTTAAAAAAAGAGTAGGAGGTACTGTCTGGAGGAAGACCAGACTGGAGACACTGCTGCAGTATCATCCAGGTAAGACTTGGTGGTGGCAGTGAAATCAGGGAGATGAATTTGGATACATTCTGAAGGTAGAGCTGCAGGGATTTCCTTAAGGATTGGATCTGGTATATGAGAAAAAAAGAGAGCCTAATATGATCCTAAAGTTACTGGATAGACTTTTAAACCATATTTTTCAAGGTCAAGTAATCCCATCCACCAAGAGTTCATTAGTGTTTATATTGAAGTCTTAGGGAATTGAGTTCCAGTTTTAAGGGTCTCATCTCTGTTCAAGTATTTAAGTGGCTTTGACTTCAGATTAAAGATTGTGATTCAACTTTAACCTATTATTTTCATTCTATGCATTCTGTACATTCTCATCCTTGCAATATGAAGCTTCCTAATATAAAACACACACACACACACACACACACACACACACACACACACACACACAAATGAGGGTCTGTAACATCCACAACGACTGGAGGCTCAACCAACCAGAAGTCAGTGCTGGGTTGCCATGTTAGGGGTGAGATCAGGCCAGCAGGGGAGGGCAGTTAGGGGCTTCCAGGCTGGCAAGGGAGGGCACTGGGGGGCAAGATCAGGCTGGCAAGGGAGGGCTATGAGGGGTAATCAGGCAGAAGCAGTAATGGGTCATCAGGCAGGTGAGCGGTTAGGAGCCAGCGGTTCCAGATTGCGTGAGGTGGGATCAGGTCCAAACCAAGGCTGGACATTTCCAAGGGGCAAGTGATTGGAGAGGGTGCAGGCTGAGGGAACCCACCCCCGCTTCCCCACCGTGCACAAATCTTGTGCACCAGGCCACTAGTAGAGCTATAATAGGAGCAAATCACAAGTTTTAAAGTAGGTAAAAAATAAAAAGTAGAGGGGAAGGGAGAAAGAAATATCCATTGGTTGCATTCCACATGTGCCTGGCTGAGGTACAGGACCTGAACCAGAATCCAAACCAGACTCTTCAGTCCCTACCAGCTAGTGCAAAATTAGATCTTTGTATCCCAGTCCAATTCCACTTTTACAAATTTATGTAAATTGGGTGTGAAATGGCCTTAATGGATACTAGTTAGTTCACTCAAAATCCCAACTAGAATAATTTTTAAAAAATATATTTTATTGAATTTTTACAGAGAGGAAGAGAGAGGGACAGAGTTAGAAACATCAATGAGAGAGAATCATCAATCAGTTGCCTCTTGCACACCCCCTACTGGGGATGTGCCCGCAACCAAGGTACATGCCCTTGACCGGAATCGAACCCGGGACCTTTCAGTCCTCAGGCCTGTGCTCTATCCACTGAGCCAAACCAGTTTTAGCTAGAATAATTTTTAATAGGGAAAAATCTCATTAAAAACCTCTTCTTCAGAAAGGGTTTGAAATGAAGTCAATTCACCTTGCGAAAGTTGGGTCTATTTTTATTTCTTCCCTATTCCTCTTTCCTTTTCAGTCTCGGGACAGTGGTAACCGCCTGGCAGGCAGGCTGGCCAGTCCTGGCTGCCTAGGAGCTGCGGTTAAGTGCCGTCTCTTCCCCAAGGGGACCTTTTCTCCTTGCGTCCGTGGACTTGAGCGTTTTTGTTTCTTGCTGTGAGTTGTGGGGGCTGGGAGACACTGAGCGAAGCCATCTCTGAGCGATACACCCACAGGCCATCCTTAGGTCCTTCCGCGGGTGGGCGACTGGAACCTCGGGCTGCAGGGAGGGTTGGGCCGGGGGCGGGGTGCCGAGTGCGTCCCCGCAGCGGCCTGCGCGCTGCAGGGTCCGCAGAGCAGGAGGGGTCGCGGCGGGGCCTCCCCTCAGCGTCTGCCTCTCCCAGTCCCTCAGGCCCCCAGAGGCCCGCCCCAGCCGGCGCCGAGCCCCCGGGCGGGCGGCGCGCCTGCCCTTGTTTGGCCACGCGGCACCGGCGGCGTTGGCGGCGGCGCTCCCCCCCGCCCCCCGCCCCCCGCGTTGTCAGAGGAGGCGGGGCCCGGGGACTGCACCGCCGCGGCCGCCGCGCTCGCCACTCGCCGCCGCCGGAGAGGCCGGTGACCTCCTGGCCGCCCGCCCGCCCGCCGCCGCGGAGCTCCGATGGCTCAGGCCAAGATCAACGCCAAGGCCAACGAGGGCCGCTTCTGCCGCTCCTCCTCCATGGCCGACCGCTCCAGCCGCCTGCTGGAGAGCCTGGACCAGCTGGAGCTCAGGTGCCGCCGGGGCGCGGGGCGCGGGGCGCGGGGCGCGGGGCGCGGGGCGCGGGGCGCGGGGCGCGGGGCGCGGGGCGCGGGGCGCGGGGCGCGGGGCGCGGGGCGCGGGGCGCGGGGCGCGGGGCGCGGGGCGCGGGGCGCGGGGCGCGGGGCGCGGGGCGCGGGGCGCGGGGCGCGGGGCGCGGGGCGCGGGGCGCGGGGCGCGGGGCGCGGGGCGCGGGGCGCGGGGCAGGTGTGTTGGGGGGCGAGGGGTCCCCTCTCCGCGTCCGTCCGAGAGGGAGCGCCCCGCCGGCCGCCACGTGCGCCCCGGTGGAGGGAGCGGAGGAGCCGGGGTCGGTGGGGTGACGTCATTGGCGGCCAGGGCCGGTGGGACGCCTGACCCCGAACTTCTGGAACCTTCTGATCGCCAGTGTGCGGCCTTCCAACTTAGTCAGGACCAGTTAGGCATTTTTAGGAGACGCGGCCGATGAGCGGTCCTTGGTGGGGATGGTCGGTTTCTTTGCTTCCAAACACATAAGAGAGGAAACAAACAAAAAAAAGAAGCCGGGAGCTCCCCCGGAGCAGGGACTGAGGGGCAGCCCGGTGCTGGTGGAATGGATGGAGGCTGCAGCGCCCAGTTTCCCCGCCGTCCGGCCCTCAGTCCCTCCGCACTTACTTACTGTGCGCCTCCTCCCATCGAAGCCGCCGCGCTGACTCCTTCCAAGTGCCAGCCGCTGGCCTGAAGGGATAGAAGTGTTTGCCTCTTAGCTGGGGGGCGATGCTACTCACTGATCAGTGTAGGGGTGGGCGTGCATGCGATTTCTAAGTGAGCCATAGCACATTTTTGGAAATGTTTACTTCCTCTAACGGTGTGCGGACCCTCCCTGTGCTTCCTGGCCCCGCGCACTGTGCGCGGGTGGAGCTCAGTGGAAGTCCGGTTGAGGCACCACAGCCTCCTGGAGCTGCCCAGAGGAGTTTCCCCCGGGTTCAGGGCGGATGGAGGAGTGTGTGAGCCAACCGTGTGGAGAAGCATTTCGTGGGGTCTGTGTCTCCCCGAGCTCATTCACCAAAACAGGAGGAGGGATCCGTGTCCCAGGTCAGTGCGTTCGCAGCCAGTTTGTCTCAGCGTGACTGCCCCCAGGAAGGAGGCAGGACAGGAGGAGTCCTCCGCCCACCGTGACTTCATGGAGGGCAGCAGTGAGAGAAACCAGGGCCAAAACCACTGTCTGAATTCTGCTGCGAATGAGAAAAAGAGAACAGGAGAAGAGGAATACTTCTGCATCGCTTTCGACACGAACATTTTTACATCAACCCCCAGAGTGGAGCAAACCTAGAGATCAGTGGCCTCAGCCACTTAATGTTCCTCTGGAAAATACTTTTTTTAGGTAGCAGCATAACAAGGAACAAGAAACTCACACATCTCCCCAGGTCTTTTTTTTTTTTTTTTTTTTTTTTTTTTTATTGATTTCAGAGAGGGAGAAAGAGAAACATCAATGATGAGAGAGAATCACTGATCGGCTTTAGAACTCTGAGGGTGTGTTCTCAACCATTTTGGGGGTTTCTCTTTCCTAATCAGAAAGGACTTTTCCTTAAAGTAATGAGGTCATTGCCCCGCCTTCAAGCTGAATCATTGTCCTCAAACTTGAATTAATGCCTCATGTGCGGTAGGTACAAAAAAGGCCGGTACTCAGTTGGATGCAGCATTGACCTGTCTGTATACTAATAGGTGGTGGGTTTGATTCCCAGTCAGCGCACATGCCCAGGTTGGAGGTTCGATCCCCGGTCTGGGCGTTCAGGGACAGCTAATTCATTTGATACTTCTCTCTTACTTTGATGTTTCGCTCTCTCCCTTCCTCTATTTTAGTAATAATACTTTTTTTTAAATCAAGTACTCATCTCTAAAAGAAAGCCTCTGGATTTGAGTTTATTATATTTTAATACTGATTAATATAACATGAATTCCGATTACTGTATACAAGTGATTAAACTATAACTTTTTAAAAAAAAAAATCTTCCAAAGGATATGTTTTGTTTGTTTTTTAATTGATTTTGAGACAGAGAGAGAGAGAGGGAGAGAGAGAGACATTGATCAGTTGCCTCTAGTATGTGCACCCAGACCGGGGATTAAACCTGAAACTTTGGCATTGCCCTGACTGGTAATCGAACCTGAAACCTTTTGGTGTATGGGCTAAACTATAACTTTTAAATTAACCCTTGAAAATATTTATTAATATGTGTTGAATTGTTCATTGTAAGCTTAGACTTTTGTAAGCTTTGTTTCTTTAAAAAATAAGTAATATTAACATTAATGGTAACTAAGGAAGTTTTTTAGAAAATAAGTAAAAATAGAGAAAAATGCAAATGCATGGACAAAGTCAAAACAACACTACACTGTTAAAAACTAGAAGAATTATGTCTACAAGGTGAATTTTTAAAAGAAAACATGATTTTCACATGTAATTTGTTTCTAACATTTTACCGGGACACTAGCTCGTCTTTTCCAACTTCTTCTAAGAAGGTGATTCCTTTATCTCCTGGTTTCAGTACCTATTTTATTTTATTTATTATTTTTAAATTTTATTTTATTGTTTAAAGTATTACAAATAAGTACATATATCTCCTTTCATTACCTATTTTAAATGGTGTATGGTTTTTGCATTCATCAGTGGCTCAGAACACCTTCTTAAGTTATCGTAATTATAAATAATACATGCTAATATTTATTCACTTAATGAGCACTGACTATATGCCTCTCTGGAAGGTATTACCTCCATTCTCCAGTTGGGAAATTGAAACTTAAGAAGTTCAGTCTTGTCCTAGGTCACATAGCTAGAACCCAGGAAGACTAGCTATAGAGCTTAATACTTCATTACTAGTTTTCTTAAATATGTCGTATTTTAAAATGTGGGAATAGTGTAAGGATGAATATATGATTTTACTACAAGCAGTGAAAATTCCATTAAAACATAATTAAATTAGTGTTTAATTCAGAAAATATTGAACACCCGCTCTGTGCCAGGTGTTGTGTGGCTCCTCGTCGTCTCTGGACGGTGGTGAAGATGGGCCGAGGGCTGTAATGGCACAGGGCCTGAGGACAGGGTGGGAGATTGGCTGTTCATACATTTCCCCAAACTGATCATTCTGTAGCTCCTTCTCCCTCTTATCAGCCATTTGCAGTGGCTTCCATGGAGGGCTGGGTGAATGACCGGGGTGATATGGATCATTTGTTTGCCAGAAAGTTTCTACTTGCTTAAAAGTTTCTTAGGGTGTGGCAGTGTCCAAGGAATCATCAAACAAGACGGCACCATAGTTAATGTACAACAGCCTATAATTTACAGGAGCACTTTTCATAAACATTGAGATTTGACGCTTAAAAACCCCTTGGTTAGGAAGGCAGATGTTATCTCTCCTGGGAATGAGGGAACTGAATCCAGAGGGACTGACAGCAGAGTGAGGAGCTGCTATTCACAGTAGCTTCTCACACTGAGCACCAGTCCCTTTCTTACACCAAAGTGTCTCAGTAGTGAATGTAATTTAATATTTTGGTTATGATCAGGAAAAGCCTTCAAAATTTTAGATTGCCTAAAATATGAGTGATCACTATAATATTCTTTTGATACAAGAGTATTGAATAAGAGACACATGATTTAAAAAAAAAAATTTATTGTTTAAAGTATTACATATGTCTCCCCCCCCCCCCCATTGATTTCTGCGAAGAGACACATGATTTTAAGAATTTAGAAATTCTTTCAAATAAATCTATGATAGGAGCGCTTGCCATTTTCACTCCTCTTTATGAAAACACAAATTCTTGTTACTTGTAAGTCCGAGTTCATAATGTTCACCAGCACCCATCCTGGGGCTATTGCACATAGCCACTCATGTCTATATTTTTTTAGTTGATGTTGTCAGTCACTGTGAAAACTTGCCGGGACCGGTTTGGCTCAGTGGATAGAGTGTCGGCTTGGGGACTGAAGGGTCCCGGGTTCGATTCCGGTCAAGGGCATGTACCTTGGTTGCGGGCATATCCCCAGTAGGGGGTGTGCAAGAGGCAGCTGATCGATGACTCTCTCATCGATGTTTCTAACTCTCTATCTCTCTCCCTTCCTCTCTGTATAAAAAGTAATAAAATATATTAAAAAAAAAAAAAAAAAAAAAAACTTGTTTACCTGCTTTACTTGATTCAGTCACATCCACCATCGCATTATCCCTGTTTCATAGATGAGGAAAATTGAAGCGAGGAGAGTTTCAGTAACTACTCAAGGTTCGGACAGCTGGACTAGAACGCCCTTGCCATGCCCACTGTGTCCTGTATTAGCTGATGAGAGCAGCCAGTGAGCTGACATTGCTGTTGGGTCTCCTCTAAGTCTCCCAGCTTTGTGTGTGATACCCAGGCTGCAGAGACCTGTTGGGTGTCAGAGACAAGAGGACTAGCTGAGGAGGAGTGCCCTTCAGTTCTGTCCTTGGGCGAATATGCTGACCGCAATTTATTTTGGTAAAAGCCTGCTTAGTTGTGATCTCATGCAGAGTGTTTTCCAGAAGCACAGCCCAGGCCGGCCTTGGTGTGAGGATGGGTTCTTTCCCAATTTGGACTTGTAGCTGCTTCCACGATCTGTTAATAAAAACAGAACTGCCCTCTCTGCCAAGAAGAATGCTGTCAAATGATGTGTTAAAAAAAAAAACAGCCATGAAGGATAATGTGAGATAGTCCAACAGTTGTCTACCCAGAGTTCCAGAAGAAAATAGTGGAATGGAGGACAGGGAATATTCAAAGATACAATGGCTTACAATTTTCTAGAACTCTAATGGAAAAGTAGATTATAAGAGTTGTATTTAAGATACCAGTAGCTGATAAACAGTACAAATATTACTTAAACAAGCTAAGTGGAGATCTGGGTAAAGCTTTTTAAAAGAAAAAATTAAAAATCCAACGAAGTCCATACATTAGAAAGATGTGCAGTAGTGCATAGGGAGGCATTGACCAACACCTCCTCAATGGGGGTTAGGGGAGGAATGGGGGGAAGTTAAGGAAACAGTTCCTGTGCAAAGGATTAGGTTTTGAAAAAATGTCACCAGTGGACAAGGGTCAAGGATAAAGAATGTTGCCAAAGAGGGAATAGCAAATGGAAGGTCAAGGATGCCAAAAACAAACAAAAAAAACTTTGGTTCTAAAGAGTGACATTTTACCTTTGCTATGATATGAAAAAGGCAAATGTGAAAATATATGTAAGAAGTTCTGTAAAAGATGAAATCTGTTTTTCACAGGAAAAATGCCCTGTTCATTTCTAGTCTTGGGGGGGGGGGGGGGAGGAACCCATGAAAGTTGCATCTAATTTCCTTTAATGACAAAATACTTCTTCATATGACAGGTTATGTTTTTATAGAGGGTCTCCTTCTAAACCATTTCTTGTTAACAACACTGTGAACTTCCTGTTGTAACTTGCTGTTGTAAATGCAGTGTCCTTTTTTAGGAAAACTTTCAATTCTTTATCATCTCCCATTTGAGTGCAAACACGAGTGTTAAAAATTTAATCTCTTATTTAGCATCTTCACATTTACCAGTCACATGGTTCATTTAAATACTGGAGTCGTGGTTTGTGTTTTTAGCACAAATATTTCATATCAGTGCCAACTCAGGCTCTTTCAGATGTACTGGGCCCTAGGCTACCTGAGCGTTTGCAAATGTAAAATGTGTAAGTACATCCTGAATTGTGCTAGAAGGCCTGATACTGCATTATTCCTATTTCTTAGATTATTAAATTTCATTGTTTCCCAGGCCATATCAGGTAGTAAAATTCTTACCAGCTCTTTGCTTTTACTGGCTTTTATAAATGCAAAGTCCAACATATATTTAGTATCTTGATGAGTAAAGGGACCCTGTGACACTTTTCTGCTTGTGAGTGCTATTTTGGGGTGTAACAGGTGGGTGACAGTGGGGGAAAGGCATATGTGTGGTGGGGGTGAGGAGGGGGAATCCTTATATGGAATGGACACGTGCTAAAACATTGGTGAGATTGTTCCTTCTGGACCCACTTAAAACAGCAGTCAGGATTAGATATGTAGTGATCTTGGGTTTCTGAGACCATCTGGATACTGGGGATAGATCCGTCACTGTTTATTTTGGAAAAGTTGGCAACTTATGTAATTGCAGGGTAATATATAGCAAGAAAGTGCCCTGTAAACAGTGCGCTTTAAATATACAGGATTTCTTTTTCTTGCTCTCATGATTCCACATGACTGGGTGTGTTCATGTATGTGTAGTAATAAGTATGCGGGAGTGTATTCTTGGGGAAAGTAGTACTTCTATAGTCTGCTCATGGCTCTGTACCAAAAACCTGCAGAGGCATTCCCTTTAAATTTGGGAAAAGGCAAAGATGCCCTCTCTTACGACTGCTTACAGAGGACTGTAGTCAGTATTATATTAAGAAAAATAGGAGCTAATAGCTCTGGAGGAATAGCTCAGTTGGTTAGAGCGCCATCCTGCTATGCCGAGGTTGTGGGTTCCATTCTCGGTCAGGGCACCTACAAAATCAACCAGTGAGTGCGTGAGTTCATGGATAGGTGGAACATCAAATCAGTGTTTCTCTCTCCCTCTCTAAAATAAAAAAGAAAAAGAAAAATAGCTAATAGCATTGAAAAGGAAAAGATAGCTAAAACTGGTTTGGCTCAGTGGATAGAGCATCGGCCTGCTGACCGAAAGGTCCCAGGTTCGATTCCGGTCAAGGCATGTACCTGGGTTGCCGGCACATCCCAAGTAGGGGGTGTGCAGGAGGCAGCTGGTCGATGTTTCTCTCTCATCGATGTTTCTAGCTCTCTGTCCCTCCTCCTTCCCCTTTGTAAAAAATCAATAAAATATTTTTTTTTAAAAAGAAAAGGAAGAGATAAAAACTATCATTTTTTGACCATCAATCTAGAACAAGCATGCCAAACTTGCAGCCCACCAGCCACAAGTTTGACATGCTTGATCTAGAAGAACCAACAAAATCAAAAGACCATTAAAATTAAGTATAAGTCATGGTTACCAGTTAAAAGATGAAACTACAAAAACAGCATTTCTCTAACTAGAAATAGCCAGCTAGAAGATATAAAAAAATATGTTATTCACAGTAGCAACAATATCCACAAACTATCTAGAACACTGAAGAGTTCACAAGACTACCATTAAGAATACTTCATTACAAGACAAAATCACCACCTACAGTGTGCAGTTCTGGGTAGTGGTTCCTGACATTTAAATAAAAATAGAAGAATAATAAAGAATATTTCAAAACTCTAATAAAGCAAGTAGAAGAGGATCTGAATAAATAGAGGTGTATCATGTTTTAGCATGGAATGACAACACAGTATTAGAAAGATGTCAAATTTCTGAAAAACCCAATCCACTTACTCTGGAGTTTACATGGAGGAATAAAAGTCTAAATAGATAAGTTTTCTTTGCAAATATTAAGGCATATTATAAAACTGATGCTATTTTTTAAAATTTTTTATTGATTTTTAAACAGAGAGGGAGGGAAGAGAAAGATGAGATGAGAGCAAAACATCCATTGGCTGTCTCCTCCTGCACGCCCCCTACTGGGGATTGAGCTGCAGCACAGGCATGTTCCCTGACCAAGAACCAATTGAGCCACACTGGCCAGGGCAGGTGCTGTTTTTTAAAGTGGGTATTTGTGTAGAAACAGCCAAATGAAATAAAGATTTCAGATGTAGACCATGTACAAGTCACTGGGGGAAAGATAGACTTTTGGTGGATCATGTTGGAGAAAATGTTCCACTATTGGGAGAAAAATAAAACAATATCCTTACCTCACTCCATACAAAGATGGGTTCTACATGAATTAATATGTAAATAGGTGCCCCGGCCAGTGGCTCGCTTGGGGCGCATATGGGAGGCAGCTGCTCAATGTCTCCCTCTCCCTCGCCTTTTCCCTTTCCCTCCTTCCCTCTTTCGCTCCTTCCTTCCTTAGCTCCTTCCCTCCCTCCTCTTTCTCTTTCTCTCTCTGTCCCTCCTCCTTTCTTCTCTTCCTCTTTCCTCTTTTCTTCTATCTCTAAAAATCAATAACCATCTCCTCAAGTGAGGATTTAAAAAGAAAAGATATAAATAGGAAAAAGGTAAAATGATAAGAGTTAATAGAAGGAAATGTAGGCCAACATCATATAACTTAGGGATGGGGAAGACCCTGAAATAAAATTTCAAAAGCATAAATCATAAGGCAAAACAAAGCCAGGAAAAGATGAACTTGATCATTTCAAAATAAGGATCTCTGTTTAGTGAAGAGTATCCCAGCGTTCATATATGATAGGATGGGAGAAGACGGTTGCATTGTAACCAACAAGGGATCCATATCCTGAGTATGCAAACCAACAAGAGGACAACAACCCCTGCTTAAAAAAGAAAACAGAAGGCTATGAGTAAGCTAACAAGGATACAAAGAGATGTCTAAAATTATTAATGAAATAAATGCAAATTAAAAATTGAGATATCACTATACTTACTGTCAATAAATACTTAGAAAATTGGAAAATGCTGAGTACTGGTAGGGTTGTGGGGATATAGGGACACCTGTGCTTTGCTAAGCAGTCCTCATACTGCATCAAATGAAGGTGCACACACCCTGTGTCAGCAGTTCTGCCCTCGCCCAGGTCCTGAAGGGGCATGCATGCATTGAAGTGTTACTTGTGGTGATGAACAGCTGAGGAACAAGGAGGGTCTCCCCTGGGAGAGGTAAAACCAGGTGGATATACATGTGGAGAATTGGGCAACAATGAGAAGCTACTGATTAAATGGTTCTTAATAAAATAATGCTGAGAGTGAGATAGCAACTGAAAACATGAATACACAAATACATATTTTTGCAAGAACAAACAGATAACCACTAAATAGAGCAGGGAGGAAAATGGGAGTGGGGTAAGTGGGTTTAAAAAGAATATAAAAATGAAAAGATATAATAAAAAGGAATAAAGACTTCTTGAAAAGTGTTCCTAATGATCTTTAAACTTGAATGACAGAAGGGTGAGGACCACTAATCGTCTGTGTAGTAACTGCTCTGTTTCCCTGTTTATAGGGTGGAAGCTTTAAGAGAAGCTGCAACTGCCATTGAGCAAGAGAGAGAAATCCTCCTGGAAATGATCCACAGTGTCCAGAACAGCCAGGACATGAGGCAGATCAGCGATGGTGAGAGCTGATTCCACAGACGGGGCTCGTCTTTTACAACCCGCCACGGGGGTTGTGAAAGGCATGGGTCAGTTTTTGGTTGACTTGAGCACACCCGATTTCAGCATTTAATGCGAGCAGCAGGCAGCAGCTGCAGCTGTCGGTTTATTACAAGAGATCATTCTCCCACTGTACACTCCAGCCCAGGCCAAGGCTGGAAGTAATGGAAAAAGGCCTCCAGCTCCTGTGGCAGAAAAGCTGGCTCCAAGCAGTGAGGCCAAGTATAGAACTTCAGTTCTATTGAAATCACTGCAATGTAGATTTAAAAGCCGAGAGAGCCTGGCCGGAGTGGCTCAGTGATTTTAATGTTGACTTATGAACCAGGAGGTCACAGTTCGATTCCTGATCAGGGCATAGGGTTTCGGGCTTGATCCTCAGTATGGGGCTTGCTAGGAGGCAGCTAATCAATGATTCTCTCTCATCATTGATGTTTCTCTCTCTCCCTCTTCCTTTTTATTGATTTCAATAAAAACATTTTTAAAAGCATAGGGAAAAGGTGAGAGGGGAAAGGAAGAAAATGAAAGAAAATAAACTACAAGCCAAATAAAACCCTATTAATGTAAAAAACGTGCCATCATATGAAAAGCATGACTGCCCCTGGAGGAACAGGTCAGCTGTGATTGGTGTTCACTGGTGATGGCCTTCCGAATGTTTCGCTTCTTCACAGAACAAGCCAGTGGGCCAGGCAGCTGGTGCAGTACGTGAGTGAGCAACCTACCTCCAGAGTTCTCAATGGGGTCAGATCTAGTTTGTCTCTTCACCATCCTGGCCAAAGATCAATGAGTTAGGAATTACAGAACTTCCCTCCAAAGATCAATTAATTAGGGGATTGCTGACTGTTGACAGAGCTCCTTTCCCCATCATTGCCTGTGGGTGCTGGCCAAGACAGACCAGTGGCCATCTTACATTTGTCTTGAGGGGGTGAAGTTGAGGCCTAATTTTCAGCCAGTTTTTCTCCACTTTCATGGCTTTTTTCTCAGCCCAAAATGGGGCATTGTATTCTGATAAACATGCAGACTGCAGACTATGCCATTGCAAAATATGCCGCTTTGGCACAAGGATATTTTGAGCTGATTATTTTTGAGAAACTGCAGACACAGGAGAAGCGCTGGAAACAGAGAAGTTACCCTTTTGTAGGAGAAGTTTACATTTTTAAAGCAACTTTCCACATGTAAGGGTGTCTCCCTCTCTGTGTCAGGGCGGGGACTGTGACTCACAAGGACTTTTATCAATGGAGAAGGTGCCCACTGTAATTAAATCTTACTCTTTCAGTGCTTTTCCTGGTCACCTCCCATAACTGGCTTCCTTCCCTCGCCAACACCTTTGTCTTCAGCTGAAGGTGGTGTTTAAGGTGGTGGCTTAGTCATCTCGGAGTTATTCAGTTTTCATGTACTATATGTGACTTATACATGTTAATAAACATTTGTGTTTTTGTCCTTGTTAATCTTTCTTTTATTCTCAGACAAGAACTCAGATAGAGAAACAATTATTTTTCCAACCCTACATGCACATCCTTTGGCGAGATACAGGACGTCTGCTCTCTGCAGCCTTCACCAGCACAAAACCTGGTTATGCTCACTGTTCACGCTGTGTTAGACCTGATCTCCATCCCAGCTACAAATGCATACCTGCTCAGACTTGGCAAACATGACCGCTTTAGAAGTCATCTGGTATTCCATGTATACAGGAAAGTTATTTCAGGGAAAAGTATTATTATTATTATTTTTTTTTTTAAGTGATTTCAGAGGAGGAGAGAGGGAGAGAAAGAGAAGAAACATTAATGATGAGGGAGAATCACTGATCGGCTGCCTCCTGCACGCCCCACCCTGGGGATCAAAGTACAACCAAGGCATATACCCTGACCAGGAATCAAACTGACCTGCAGAGTCATAGATGGATGCTAACCACTGAGCATCGCTGGCTGTGCCAGGGAAAGGCGTTCTTCAGCCTCTCTCTCTAGACCAATGCACTTCATCATCAGTTATAGCATCTTACATGCTATAGTTTTAAGATTAACCCTTAGGAAATTCATAGCAGAGGTGATCACAGAAAATAGATTTAGCCACAAATAAATGTGTTAGTGTTCTTGACATTGTTGGGGTAGGAAGAAAATTTTCTTTAGTTTTTTAGATCCTTTCGGCTGGTAGAATAATTAAATCAACATGAGACAGATTGACAATGGAAAAGTAACTTCATTACATTCGTTCATATGGGAACCTCACATACATGAGAGTCAGAGACACCCCCCCATACATGAGAGATGTAGAGATAGAAAGGTAAAGTGAGGTATACTCGACACTGTGAGCTAAGGTAAGAGATAGGGTGTCTGGGGCTGCAGAGGGGAGAGGGAGATTTGCAGGACAACAAAAGAGATGTTCATTTAAGAGAAGTTTGCCCTGCCCTATGGATAGGTCATAAAAATTATCTCCAGCAAGAATTCTTACTATGAGCAAACCCCCTAATTTAAATTCTTTAAGGGAGAGGTAAGAGTTTCTCATGAACCCTCAGCGTCTCAATCGCCTTCAGCTCAAAATAATCCGTATGCCAATGTAGCCCATCGTGGAGAAGCCTGTTCTGAATCCCTTCAACTGAGATGAGTTTATGACTCATAGCGATTGGTATTTCAAACTTTTTCTGTTTAGGAGAAAGAGAAGAATTAAATCTGACCGCAAACCGACTGATGGGACGAACCCTCACTGTGGAAGTTTCCGTGGAAACCATTAGAAACCCTCAGCAGCAGGAATCCCTAAAGCACGCCACCAGGATTATCGATGAAGTGGTCAGTAAGTTTCTCAATGATTTGGGAAATGCCAAGAGTCACTTGATGTCGCTGTACGGTGCATGTTCGTCTGAGGTGCCGCCTGGGCCAATTGATCAGAAGTTTCAATCCATAGTCATTGGCTGTGCCCTTGAGGATCAGAAGAAAATTAAGAGACGCTTGGAGACTCTGCTTAGAAATATTGAAAGCTCCGACAAGGCCATCAAGCTGCTAGAGCATTCTAAAGGAGCGGGCTCCGTAGCTCTGCAACAGAATGCTGACAGCAGATTCAATTAGTTTCCAAACCGGAGAGCAACGATGTGAAAAGGATGACATGCTATCCTAAGTGATAACTAGTTCTTTGTTAGGCATAACCACTCATTTGATAAAGATGAAAATATTCCAGTGTCAATCAGTTTTATGAATTACAATTAAAAGTAGAAATATTTTAATTATCTTCCTGTAAGTTTTTAGATTGAATTGTCTTCTAGGAACTAGCACCCAACATAAATATAAATGTATTTTTTACTGTTCTGTGGATCAGTGCTTCGTGTGGGGGGGAAGTACGTGCTCAGCTATGGGTGAAAACCACTGTTGTTACCGTGGCTTCGTCTGGTGTGGAGACACACGGGCATGCGGGGCATTTGGTTGACCAGAAAGCTTTATCAGCAGCACATGCGCATTTAGTGTTAACCAAGTAGTGTGATTACAGGGATAAAAGGAAGCACACAGTAAGAACCTTTCCCTGCATTCTCTCACTCAGTAGTGTTTTTAGACATGCATGTCAAATTATTTTGAACTTAAAGATTTACACATCTCATAACAGGAATACATTTCTTGATATTCATGAAAATATGGCAAATGAGAAAATTCACATCTGATTTTACCACTGTGAGCAATTATATATTCACGTCATCTTTTCCACATGGATCATTTCTCTAAAATGTTAATTACTATGTAAGTACAATGTTGTAACTTGCTTTTAAAAATAATTAAATGCTGCTATAAAGTCCACTTAAATTGTCAGCTTAAAAACCCTGACTTACCCAGTCCCCTTACTAGACACTTGTTTACAGTTTGTTGCCATTACTACATAGAGCTTTTCCATTCTTCTTGTTTTTTCTTTTGTTTTTATCAATTTTTAGCAGTGAGTGAAAGGTTATATACATTTCATGGCCTGACATAATTCCAGTTGTTTTTCTTTGTCTAAGAGTTATCAATTTATACTGTCTTCAATAATTAAAATGTAACTATTTCACTGAGCCTTCCAGCATTAAGCATTTTCTTCTAACATTAGATATGAAACATCTTTAGTTTGCATTTTTTTTACTAACAAAGTTGACTAGTATGTTATTTTTATCTGTAACAAATGAAGCAACTATAGAATACTTTTATTTATTACTAGTGTTATTGACATACAGAGTCCTCAACTTTCCCAAATGCTACTGCAAAACATATATTTCAAACTCAATTTTTATTGGAGCATAAGTATTCTTTCACATTGGGGAAAAAAGTTAAGATCCAGATATTTATGTCAGTGTATATTTATATATCAATTAAAACAATTCTGAGCTTTGTTTTCTGGACAAAAATGCCCAATTAGTCTCTCTATAAAAAGCAATTACAATCTAAGGATATTCATGCTGTGTTGATTGCCAGCCCCAAGTCCTCATTTAAATCTTTCCATTTCATGGGGAACATTCATTCTCATTGATAATGGTGGCAGACTCTTGATTTGCTAGCAGATTCTAATTTGCTGTTATAGGTTCACTGTCAGATAAAGATTTTCTTTTTGTGCCATCTGTTTATCAGCTTTTTGAAAATTAAGAAACAGACGATCAAGTTTTCCTCAAGTTCTCAAGGACTGTCAGCATATGTACATCCCATCTATTTGGGGAAGTAAGTACTCCCCCTTTCCACTGACTCCTCGTCAACCGGGACTGGACCACAAACTGCCAGCGCAGTTTCTATCTCATTCTTTACAATGAAGTTTATTGGAGGCTATTCCTTGTCACAGACTCGGAGCTGTGATCTGCCATCTCCAAGCTGTGTCCGTCCCTGGTCCGCTGGCCTCCAGTCTGAGCCATGTTCAAAGGGCAATGACCTCAGTTGATTCTTATTTATTTATTTATTTTTATTTTTTTAATATATTTTATTGATATTTTACAGAGAGAGAGAGGGATAGAGAATTAGAAACATCAATGAGAGAGAATCATTGATTAGCTGCCTCTTGCACACCCCCTACCGGGGATGTGCCCGCAACCAAGGTACATGCCCTTGACAGGAATCGAACCCTGGACCTTTCAGTCCGCAGGCCAATGCTCTATCCACTGAGCCAAACCGGTCTCGGCTGATTCTTATTTATTTTTAAGAATGGAAGTGTGACTTATTTTCAAATGATGAAACTCCGAAGTGTCACAAGTCTACCTTTATTTAAACTGTTGTCTTTTATGTAGGTAGTAGATTTGGACAATAAGGGAATTCCTACTATGTTTTGTCTATGTCGATATATTCCCTAATGGCTGTAATTTCTAGAATGTAATGTACAATTTCAGGACAGCCCTTTGCTATCCCTCATGAGCACTGCTTCCCAGTAGTGTTCCCAAGCCCACCCTAGCTCCTAGGTGTGAGCCCACAGGACCTGCAGAGGAGGTGACAAGGGCAGTCAGTGCTGCCCAGTTAGAAATCTGGCAGGTATAGAATTGACCCTGATATTTTAATGTAGGAATCCCTGACATTGACAAAAATCCCTAGATGTGAACTGTTGGCCTCCAGCTGTATTCCCCTCCCAGAACCAATATTGTATCCCCCATGGTTTGCTGCTGTTGACTAATGTTTGCCGACCACTGCTCTAGGCCAGCGGTCGTCCGCAGACCACTGGTGGTCCATGAGGTCCATAAGGTTGGCGACCGCTGCTCTAGGTACCTGTATTCTGTATGGTGGGTCCTCCTTTTAATTTAATGAAACATTAGCCAATGAGACTTTCTGCAGAGGGACAGAGTGCAGGCAGGCAGGGCCGTTAGTCTAGTACCCTGACTCAGAACTCACCCTAACCAAGGGATCAACCCTGTTTGATATTTTAAAACTGGAAAGCATGAAAGAATTTAGCAACCATTGAAAGAAGCAGAGTAAAGATCTGGCTCACCAAATTATATGCAATAATTTTTAACTAGGAAAAATCCGTGCCATCTGTCCCTTTCACATGGCTGTGATAAACACTCATATTTTTGGAGTGCATCCACATGATGATGGTATTTTTGAAAGATGGATTTTACAATTATTCAAAAACAAAAATGGAAAGTCAGAGCCGAATAGGCAAGACAATGACAGCAGTGAGCTTGAACTTCTTTTTGCGTGTCTAACTCGTACAACAAGCAAGCCAAATGAAATGCACCTTCCTCTTAGGGACACAGCCACTAAGTTTTCAACATGAAACAGGGTAGACAGCTTGAATTGGACCACACACATCTTTCAATTATCCACCTCAATACCACTAAATAGTGTAGCAAATATGCCTCTTTTGCATGTAGTGGGCATTCAGATCATTTTGGCAGTCATGTTTGGTGAGAAGCAATTTCAGTGTCTAGTCCAACTTTAATAGGCCATATTCCAGGGTGACCAGAGCAGGTTAAATTAGGCACAAATTCTGCAGGAAATTTGAAAAAAGGAATCAGAAAAGACTGAAAAATCTGGGCTTGGACTTAGGATTCGGATCCAGGGAATATTATGTCCCAAATGTAATGGTCAGACCTTAGGTGTGAAGACAATACAAGACCTGAGACAACAATGCGGAGGCCATAAGCTTTGCTGCCTGGAGACCTGGCACAGGCCTCCCACTCCTCTCTTACCGCAGAGGGCCCCAGGCACATCCCTGCCCTCCCCAGCTGTAAAGTGGGGTGAGAATGCGCCTGTTAGGAACTTCAAGAGATAAAGCACGCAAGGTGCCTAGCATAGTAGCTAATAGAAAGCACTTGTTATATAAATTTGAACTATATTTTGTACCACAGAACAAAGTAAATATATTTTTTGGCTTAGGGGAGGGGCTGGTGAGAGATGCTCAAAGCACAGGAAAATAACTTTTCTTTAAACAGACTGATACTGATAGAAATAGAAAAAAAACCTTAAGTTTCAAAGGAAAAATTGCTTTGAAACTAAGTTTCAAAAAACCACAGTGCTATTCAATTACATTAAATATCTACTATCAATAAAATGAGTATGCTAAATATTGGTAGAGTATTTGAAATATGAACTATTCTTAAGTTGTTTTGCTTTTTAAAGAAGTCATACCTTTTATATTTGGTTCCACACTGGTGATACATATCACAAAATTCAAGCGTTGAAATGCATTTATTTTTTTAATTATTGGAATTAATCTTTCATGAAATTTTTATTAAGTAGTATATTTTAAATTAAGCTCATGTGCATAATTGCAACCCAATAGCATTACAAACAAGTGATTTTTCATTCAGATTTACAAATTTAGTAGTAACAAAATATAGAAGGGGTTGAGATTTCCTTTTAATCCAAAGTTTTTATTTTTAAGACCATCTACCAGCATCTAACTATAGATATTTAGAAGAGAGAAGAAAAGGTATACGAATAAAAGTTATTACAGCTAATCCATCTAGTTACCTGGGAATTAGGTAACTGGGTATTAGAGTCCACCGTGGTTTTAAATGGTTTCTGTTAGCAAACAAATTCACTAGTAAGATAAGCTTACATGTTTTAGGTTGAAAACTTAAAGCGTGAGAACAGTACACATGATATTGGTGATCGTAACTAATAGTTAAAACTGAATACATCTACCTGTTCATTAGATTGAGTGCAGTGTGGGAAATTTTTATAGTTCACTTTGTCTTCAGAGAAACAGATTATTTAGTAATGGGAGCACTTCAGCAAATTACCAGTTAACTATTTCAGAGGTTTTGAAAAGGATGCTCTCAATATTTTACATTAAAATAGTTCACTATAAGTTGGGACGTTAGGTCCTGAAGCCAACTACTCCTTCTGAGATCTTCAGAATGGACTCCAATCCCTGAGTCACAGGCTCAGTGGGTGCACTGATGAGCGTTCTTTCTGCACTGAGTTGCCAACTTCTGAAACAACCATCTAACTTCACTCCACAGGGAGAAAAGGTGTTCTCTCTCTTTTTTTGTAGTGTCACTTGTACTTTATTTTTAAAAAGTATATGTGGGTTATCAACTTTGGGCAGGTGAAAAGAAAACCATTTAACCTGGTTTTATTTAACTATATTGCCTTATATGTGCTATTCTGTGTGCTACTTAATTCAATAGGCAACTGAAGGAGGGAAAAGAAACCTCAGGAACTTTAAAATGTGGCAGTGGTTACAGAGCTATATGTCTGAATGCTAAAAATTAGCCATTATGTAAAAATTACATTAGAGCACAAATGTACAACCTCCTAGAGGCTTACACAAGTTTTCTTCAGCAACCATGGTTCATTAGAAACTAAGAGTAAAGTTATTTAAAAGAATTAAAGGTCTTCAAGGGTGGGGGGGGAATTAATGTTAATTTAAGTTTTAGAATTAATTAAATTGAGAACTTATAATGATTAATTATGGTTAAATTTAGAATACAAAAGTGCAAATTAAAAACTCAACTGTGCAACGAAGATTTCTCTTCGGTTTTTGAAAAAAAGAAAGACAAAACTAAGTACATAAAATTATATTACAAATATCAGGGGAACTGCAACCATCAGAGATTACACTTTTTATATGGAACAGTAACAACACACATTTAATTAACATGAAATACAACTACAACATATTACATAATGTGATTTTTCTGATACTAAAAACCGTAAGACTATTTGATGCAAAATATATTTTGTGCAAAAATTAGAGACTATATTTCAAGAGAGCAGAAAAGTGAATCACTAGTATATATCCATTGATAGGAGCTGAGTTTTTCTCAACACCTATCCCACTGCTAGCAAGGGGAGTGATGACAACTGGTGACATAAAAATAAACATTTTATATTACTTTGAAATATGTATTGCCAGATTATTTCAGTATTCCGAAAAGCGAACATCCACACTTGACCACTTAATGACATGCTTCAGAAAATTCTATTAGGTTCTCAACATTAATCTAGATGGAGGATGAGAGTGGCAAAGATGGAAGACTTAAGGGAAAAAAAAGAAGAAAAAAAAAAGGAAACGAGAAATATATAGACATTATGCATTTACAAATAATGAAAAAGAACTTGATCGCATATTTTTCAAGAAGTTATTTGTACACATTTTGAAATCCTATAAAAACAAGGTATATTGCAAACGGTTAAAAAAAAAAAAAAAACATTGATAAATGATAATTAGTTTTAACAGAGTTCATGCAATTATCTTAGCTGGAAAACTACTGTCCCAAGTCACAAGTTTATGTTCTGCCACATGACTACATATTAAAATCCTTTCTTAAAAGAAATTATATTTGTTCCTGAAAGAGGTCTTGAGAAAGTGCTGTACAAATCAAAGGTTATAGAAATTTTTAAGTGATAATCTTAAAATACCATACAAAAAGGTGTAAACAAAAAGATGCTTTACAATTGCAGAGCATTATAAAATCCATAGTGTGGATTACGACAAAAGATCACTTCTTGTGCATTTTTAAAAACTGTTAGCATAATCCTAAAAGTTCAAGATTGTGTTTTTAGTCAGCAGCAAAGGCGCTTGGAAGCACCAGCGTGCTTCCGGCCTAAGGAGTAGCCGCAGACGTGCTGTGTCTGCTCCAGGACTTGGCCAGCACAAGCTCGCCACACTAAGAGGGACACGTGAAAAAGTTTTGCAACAAGTCTCACCTGAGAGATGA